AGGTTTCGGAAGCTATAATCCGAAACCCGAAACTTTCGGATTTTGGTGGAAAGGGTTTCGGGGCCAACTCTAATATATATTCTATTGCTATTGCTAATGCTATCATTATTGCATATGCTACTGCTATTGCAAAGCTTATAAAGATTCTAATGCATTGCATTAATGTCAATTTAACCACTGTTGTTTTAACTAAAAGAAAAGTAAAAAGACCTTCTCTAATACTTTAAAGATATCCCTTTATATATATATTTATTTATTTATTGAAATATTTTAAAACATTTGTTTTTTCTGCGTCGAATTTTTTGCCGGGCTGATGAATTGATAATTTCTGATTATCAAAGACCATAGAGAAAGAATCGTAGCAAAAATTAGATGATTATTTCCAAATCTATTTTAAATTGCTAGATTTTAATATTGCAAAATATATGACAATTGACTAAGCGTGAAGATTTACAAAAGTGAGCTATTGATTCTATAAAACATGAATAACATAACATAAGGTGGATATGCCTAATTTGGCGCGGTGCCTAATTCGGTGCACTAACGATATCTTACAAACTGTCGATTAGAATCATGTGATTTTGGTACTATTCGATTCGTCTCATCATGACAAATCGAATGGTGCCAAAATCATATGATTATGATCAATAGTTTACAAGATATTATCATTTAACCAAAATAGCCTACATATAAGATAGATATGTCTAATTGGTACAGTGCCTAATTCGGCGCACTAACGATATCTTACGAACTATTAATCAGAATCGTCTGATTTTGGAACCATTTGATTTGTCTCATCGAGTCGACTCGAATGTTACCAAAATCATACGATTTCAACAAATAGTTCACAAAATATTACATTAGAAATCTTTAATGCGCCGAATTAGGCACTGTGCTAAAATAAAACTGTGTTTTTAGATAAACTTTTAAAAAGTGATATCTTGTGATTAAATGATCGAAATTAGGTGATTTTGGCACCATTCGATTCGTCTCGATGTGACAAATCGAATGGTACCAAAATCATCTAATTCTGATCGACATGGCACGTGATATGCATCGTAGAACTTAACCGCGCCGAATTAGATATATCTACCTTATATATAAATAAATAATATGCATAATTTAATTAATTACTTAGTTTAGAATTATGATGTAACGGTAATTAAAAATTTCAACTTCACATGAATGAAGTATTATAAATATTTATAAAAAACAAAGTTTACATCTAAGCCTTCCCACCCATGTAAAAATTATATAAAAATACGATTAAATTGTTTTACAGTATTACGATCATGTACTAATATTACTAATGCTATTTTAAATAAAAATTAACCAGTATTTGCCTAAGCTGTAATTATGTGAAATTAATTGCCAAAGTAGACCAAAGTAAACTATCTAATTTATGTATATGAATACTTTATTTCGAATGCCATTATATACTTTAAAAATAAATAAAACTGATTTTATAACATAGAAAGTATATTAATTCAAGCATCGGGAAAATATTTTTTTTCGAATATTAATAAAGAAATTCAATATTGTGTGATTTCTCAGAGTTATTACTTACATATTTGCTATCTTCACGACAAAATATAGCTTAAATAAATCTGATTAAATAAACCTATATTATTATTATTCATTTCAATAATTAATTATAAATAAGCAATGGTTTTATCTTGACGAAAAAAACATTTGTCTCAATCAAAAATAAAAAAATGCCAAGCACTATTAGTACTATTTGCTATATCACTGACCATCAAGAAAATGCCATTAATAATGATCTTTCAATTGTAAAAGCAGCCGGAATTACATGTCTCAGAACTAATGATGTTAATTTAAATGTTCTCTTAATTGCCTTTTATTCCAACAATCAACAAAATATGGTGTCTTTTTCAACAGAAGATGTATTATTGGTAACTGGAAAATTTCACTTCATTGAAGAACAAGATGATGATGGAAATTCATACCCTATTTTAAAGGTAAATAAATTAAAAGTTTATTATTAAATATACTATTACTTTTAAATCTATAACTTACATAATCTCTGTATATTTTAAAAAATAGATTACTCTAACTGATGCTGTTCCTCTTAATATTGATCCAGTCAATTTACCAAAATTTCCTCTCTTGATTAATATGACAGCAGTTGCTCTTGAAAATGCTGAAATTAACCAAACTGATATTGTTATTCTTATTGAAACGAAAGACTATATGGATCAAGATAATGTGGTTCAAACTTTCAGATCTTATCATTTAACAAATGCACAACATTTGACACGTATATCTACAACTGTAAAGAGAGGATCTGTAATGTTTATTTCTGGTGAACTTATTATGGTTGATGAAACTTTTATCATTCATCTTCGAAGTATAAACTTCTCTGAACACCAAAACTATCTGTTACTGTGAAAAATCCAACCAACCTTCCTTGGCAAACTGAAGCCTCTACAGATAAGTCTAATACAGTTGAGAAAGTAACTTGAACTATAGCTGCACGGGTAAAAAATGATGGTAGACGCAAAAAGGCTGAATCATACTCAAAATCAAAAAATCGACCAAAAGTTACTGATCTCGCCAAAAATACTCTAAATCAAGAAACATCTAACGCATCAACATTTCAAGGCTATTAACTTTTTCTGTTTTTTTTTCAAAGCTAAAAATATATATATATTAATATTACTATTACATATGTATATTTATTATTATTTTAAAAACTTTTAAATATCGATTTTTCTATCACATATATATTTGCGTATATATTTATCAAATATAACAGAAAAAAAAACATATATTCAATTATAATAAATAACTGTTGTTTAACTTTGCTTATCTAACAAAAATTCTACTTTAAAACTTTTATATATTTTATATTAATATTCACATTATATATATACAAATTATAATAATAAAATAACAATCGTCTAATTTTGCTTATTTAACAAAAATTCTACTTTAAAAATATTTAAATATTCTATATTAATATTCACATTATATAAATAATCATTTATCACCTTCTATTATTAGTTAATAGTTATTACTATTATTTATATGTATAAAAAAACAATACACATATATTTATACAAATAATCGTTTATCAACTTCTATTATTAGTTAATAGTTATTACTGTTATTTATATATAAAAAAAAACCAATACATATATATTTATACAAATGATCGTTTATCAACTTCTATTATTAGTTAATAATTATTATATACTGTTATATAATATAAAAAAAAACAATACATATATATTTATACAAATTATCAATTGCTTACTTCTATTATCAACAAATAATCTACCGTAATTAAAACCAAAAAGCAAAAATATACTCTCACATTTGTAATAATATCATAAATACCACTTTTATTATTAATTAATTAATAATTACTACTGTTACAATATACAATTAAATTCGAAAGTAAAATATATTTAATTTTAAAGTGTCGCTAAAAGAAAAATAATTGGTAAGATTACTTATACCAATTTTTAAAAGCCACAATCTGTTACAATGAAATTTTATATTCATGTGTCATATTAATACTTGCACAAATACTATTTCTGTAATTGGCTAATACTGCTATTATTAATAAATGAATTATCAACTATCCATTGTTAGTTAATAATCTTATATATATCAATAAGTGGGAAAAAGTTTAAATTAATATATAATTTCAAGTTAGAGTTAAAATTTTAGTATAATTATTCTATTCTAATTTAAGTAAATTCTAAATCTATTATAATTTTATTTCTACTTACAATATATAAATAACCACGGCTTTTATAATATATAATAATATATAATAATCAAGATATTTATTACTGCAATAATTAATAAACGTAATTTTGAAAACTTATACAATATTATATACTGATAATATTACTAATTATAAACTATATAGATTCTACTAAACATATATAGCAAATTATTATTTAACTAATTATAAAAAATATAAAAATATTTTTTTAATACTTCTATCTATCGCCAACTCAAAATGTCCTATAACCATCAAATTTTTGAAGTTGAACTTTTAAATTACAAACAAATTACTGACTTATTTTTACTTGAAAATTCTTCACACAATACAAACTCTTCACCTGATGTTCCCTCTTTAATACCTACACTGTTAACTTATCCTCCATGGTCTCCATCAACAAAATTGCAAGAAATTATAAACAAATTTGAAGAAGAGATTTTATACCAATTTCCGTGTGTTCCATGCTCTATTTGTTCAAAACTCATATATCCTGAGAAATCTCAATGGATTGAACATGACATAAATATTTCATATCCACTTACAAATGCTTATCCGAATATTAGATTAATCACCAATCCTAATTCACTTCCAAATCGTATTGCTATATGTTCTTCATGTAAATCAAATCCAAATCGGAATTATCCTCTATATCTCAGTTAAATTCCATTGGAAATTGAAGCTATACCACTAGAAAAGCGCAAATATTTATCCCCAATCTTTATATATTGTTCTCTTGGCCGCACTCCTGGTGCAAATGCCTTTACAGAATACAGATCATTAACAGGAACAATGAATTACTCTAAAAATTTTCACTCGCTAAGTCTATATTCTGGACTATTAGGTGCTTTTCTAAATCTTTCAAATTCTACTGCTAATCAATATAGTTTACCTTCTTGGTTTGAATATTCTTTACAAAATGCCGCCAATTGGCTTAAAGAAAATAATCTATTCTTTCATGAATACATGCAAATATCCTCACTCAATTCATTTATACATGATCCATTTCCATCAGCCACTCACTTACCTGATAATTAAAATGCACCACCATTTCAACAAGGAGATATAGTGGTTTCACATCAAAATTTCCCTACTGAAATTCATAATGAAGATGCTCACTATAGCCACCTAATGGCAGATCACGGGGGTAAATTTTTTACTATGAAATTTGAGTGATCGACATGCATGTGATGGGCTCAATTTTCATAGTAAATTGCAATGGTTACCTACTTTCAATCATTTATTTCAAGGGTTTCTAAAAAGGAAACCGCACTTATGACATGCATTTTGACGGTTT